GAATAGCTAGGAAAAATGAAAGGATTGCGTTAAATGCAAACATAAATGAATAATAAATGTTTATAAAAATTATAATGGAAATTAGAAAAAATAAAATAAGGATATATGAGAAAAAAGATGAATAGGTTTCTAACATTTAGGAGAAGCGATGTCATCAATATTGGTTTTTCATGTACACATATTAGTTATCTAAAGTATACTTTTTATTCACAAGTAATGTCAGAGGTATCTTCAATCATTATGGAAATTCCATTGTCTCTGCGATTAATATATACCCTATAAAAGAAAGGGGTAGTCAAATTGAAAAAAGAAAACCAGTAAAAAAACATGTTGAAGTTTGTTGAGGCCACATCATAGTTTATAGTACTTTCAAGATTTCATCATCGGACCATTATTGTGATAATATGTTTTTCATTTACACATATTAGTTTTCTCAAAATATACTTGAAAAAAGATAATCATTAAAAAACATGTTGAAGTTTGTTGAGGCTACATCATAGTTTGTAGTACTTTCAAGATTTCATCATCGAACCATTATTGTCATAACATTCCATCATCGATCATGTTGTCATCAAAACTCTAAAAGCGTTGTCAAGAACAAACTATCGGTTTCCTTGAGGAAACTTAAGAAAATTATAGAAGAAAAAAGTAAAATCCCAAAATCCCAACAAAAATAAGAAGAAATGCATATTTGAATTAGTCTTGTCGAATAAACTTAAAAATAGATTTGTTGAAAAAGAATAAAATTTATGAAATAGAAAACATTTAAGTGGTAGAGATGGAGAAAAAAAGATTGAATGATGAACAATTCATGAAGAAGAGCTAAGAAAAATGAAAGGATTGTGTTAAATGAAAAATCTTTATAGAAATTAGAATGAAAATTAGAAAAAAAAATATTAAAATAAGGATAAATGAGAAAAAAGATAATTTCTAACCTTTAGGAGAAATCATGTCACCAATCTTGGTTTTTCCTTTGTGAGAATATTTTTAAGAACATAATCAATTGTTTCTTGATAGCAATTTATGTCAAACTATATCAAGAGGAAGAGATTGAGAAATAAAGAGATGAARAGATAAAAAGTTGGAGAAGGTAAATCAATTTCAATAATAAATAAAATAAATGTCTATTAAGAAGAAGCTGAATAGTCTAGGAGGTTAAGCTTATCTTGAATGCTTATTAAAAAGTTGAATAATTTGGGAGGTTAAACTTAGTTGGATGCAAAATTACCAAATGATCTCATCTATTATGAAATATACAATTTGCTTGTAGGGGCATAATAGTCTTTAACTTAATTAGTATTTTAAAAAACAAAAAAAAGGAGAAAAAAGATAAATAAGCTCCTAGCTTTTAGAAGAGGCCACATCATACATAGTGGTTTCTTCTTTAATATATATATAGATTAACCAATTATCCATGTGCTTTACTCAAACTCCACCAATTGTCAACTATGGTTTCAAAATTACGTCAACGCCCCCATCGTTTCAGTGTGTTTACACCAATCGTCCCGCACCTAACGTTGTTAAAAACATTTGTTAAGACCATCTCCGATGAATGCACCAAATATTGCATTAAAATCATTTTTTGCACCAAATTCTCTCCAAAGAATGTACTGTTTTTTGAGGTATTTAAGTATTATAAGTAGCAACACACTAGATTTGGTTTAACACTTTATTTTTATCAAGGGTTTCATATTTACGAAATGGTCCTTCAATTTTAAGATTTATGCATTTAAAATTGGAAATGTTGTAAGGTGAAACAATTTAGTCATTTTTTTACAACTGTTTTTTGTATACAAGTTTTTAAAACTTATGAAAACAGGAAATAGTCGAAGTCAACTTACTGTAATTAGCTCAACTAGCTACAAGGGTTGGGTCTTTGGAGATTCTTTTAAAGGTCATAGGTTCGAGTCCTACAAGACCACTGGAAATAATCTTGGTCATCCGTCATTCTATAGGGTCCCTGAAATTAGTCAAGTTATGTACAAGCCGGTTCGGACACAAAAAAATAGCCAAAATTCACAAGAATAGACAACATCCATTATATAAGTATAAATCATTTTACCATCCCTTCTAAGTTTGGAAGGTGAGATCCAGTGAGTGTACAACTTATAAGTGCATGTTGAGTCTCTAATCTCTCCTAAAGGGCTCTTTTTAAAAAGTAATATGGGGTTTCACATATTACCCATTAGTTACAGTCAAGATCTACCACTCTAGGGAGTCTACAACACTCTGGGGCAACCTTTACTTGTATAGCCCCTTATTGACACTCTAGGGACCGTCTAGCCTCCGTAGGAGGGGGCGTGTTAGAGGCACATATCGACTAGATTTTGACCAATTCTCCTATGTATATGTCCCCCCTGGTTCAACTTGTTATCACATCCTTCTTTGCACCAAACCCATATCCTCTTACTCCTGCTAACTGTAATCGTTTACAATACAATTCGACTATGGAAAACCCTCTCTAAATTTCTCATTAATCCACCAGTCATCAGCTACAATAAGCTTTCTCACCAATCATTCTAATTCTAAAAGAAGTTATTAAAAAGTATGATATTCATGGTGATTTCCTTTTTATATACATAGATTCATAAATTACATCCAACTTTCTCAATAAATGAACTTTGAATCTCCTACCTATGTTTTTTGGCACATAAAGAAGGCCATATAGAAGTTCTTCAGTTTTGTCTCTACATAAAATGTAATTTTATTTCTATCGAAGCAAAGCTATCTTCTTCTAGAACTTTGTGTGGTTCGATTAAATGCTTTCTTCCATCTCCCATACGTAGCAGTCGAAATACGTAACATTTAAATTCAAGATACTATAATAGCTTATGTCAATAATGAATTTGACATATTTCACATGTCATTTGCTGCTTAAATATGGTTCATAGCTGAAACTAAGGGGCCTTTTACTAAAACACTTACCCAGTAAGCTTTAATTACTGGTCATTTACCTTATTGGATGAATATACGAAGGGTCGAAAATCTTATCCGGTAAGAGCAATGATAAGGATGGAGAGTCTTACCCGGTAAATGCTTACCGGGTATATTGTTGCATACAATACGATTTTGATGGACTACAGTCTTGTTCTGTAAAGCAAGTTAGAGTGTTGCCTCTTTTTTTTTGAAGTATATAATATATATACGGCAAATACAACAAATAAACTCACACACCCTCCTCACCTTTGAAGCCTTGGCCTCCTAGGAGGCCAAAGACTACGATACCGCTAGGCCAAAGACCCTTTGGTCTAGAGTGTTGCCTCTTGCTGGGTAAGCATTTGGGTAAATGGCCCCTAAGTCTCATTTTGAATAGTGCTTTAAGATTTGAACATAAGACCTATTTCTTGATCTTTATAACGTGCAAATAGGTTAGCTTTACATTTTTTGTCATCATTTAATTTACATTCACAGTAACCAGTACATTGCTGTCTAACCTCCAAGTGGAATATACTAGGCTTGTTATGTTTGGTTTGGTTTAATCAAAGAACTTAGATTAGATATAAATGGCTTAATTCAAAAAGAATACTAACCTTCAAATCATAACTTGATGCAATCTCCATTGAGTTGATAGTGAAGAGGGGAGATAATAATCATTCATAACTTCGTCTTTTCCTCTTTCGTTGCAGATCTCTGTGCACCCAAGTAATGACTTTTAGGAAATCGTTTCCGTTTCTCTCTTGTTCTTTCTGAATAGTTCTTGCAGATTGAGAGGTAGATTCGCCACACCAACTTACCTCAATCAATTCTAGTGGTAAGATTTCACCAATACTAGTTGGAATCCCTTCAAGTCTTAAACAACAACGCACAACCAACCGTTGAAGTCTTGGAAAGTGAGCACTTGAAGTTTCCCAATTTACAATATCCAAGTCTTGTAATTTCAAGAGCTTGAGGTTTGCAAAGCCCTTGTCACTTGTTTCCCATCTTTGTCCGATGCAGGCATTAACATTCAATTTTAAAACTTCAAGTTTTGGTAGCAACCCAATTGTCCGAACCTCGTTCCAGTCCAGGGCAGTATCTGATAAGGTTAGTCTCGTAAGCGTTTCAGGAAACATAAGAGGACTGCATGACTTCACTGCTGCATGATAGATCTTCGTATTTGATAACTTCAACCTTTGAAGGCAGTTCAAATAGCATATATTTGGAAACTCCAAGACCCCTAAAGTCGACACTAAAGGTCCACAAAAACCAAGCTTCCTAAGATTGGTAGTTCTGGAAAGAATATCTAGGCACGAAGGTGAAGGGCAAACAGCTGAAATAGTCTGTAGACCGTCTAATACCCGGTCATAGCAATCATTTCCTGGGAATTTGTTAGAAGAAACATCTTCAATGAGATTTTCCCCTGACTTGATATAAAGATGTCTAAGATGTCCCAGATCCCATGTACTTCTAGGCACAACAATATTCCTACTTGATGATATGATGAGGGTTTGTAGGTGTATGAGGTTGGATATTGATGCCGGGGGATTCCCATCTTCAGCTTGAATGGCTAGATATCTCAAATCAACTAGTTTTGTTACTTCCCTAGGAAATGAGAAAATAGAGATGGACTCGATATCCAATATCCTAAGAAATTTGTATGTCTCATAGTCAAAAGGTTTACCCACTTGAAAAGATTCACCCAATTCTATGGGACAACAGAAAATGAAGTTAACATGTTGGGTAGAATGTTCTAAGGACCTGCCATGTGATGGATATGTTTTACTTTCTGCAGCTGCAGCAGGAGAAAATGCTGAAGACACACGGCCATACCTGTCAATTATGGATGAATGTATTCTTCCTCAGGAACTCCCATCATAATTCACTATCACTTTGTCTAAATAAGTATTTCAAAATGAAAAAGATTTACAAAGCTGAGAAATTGTCAATACCTGTATATTATAGGAGAAAACCTCTCTTCATTTGCTTTCCATGAGCAAAAACTGCGCAATAGGTCATGGACATGACATGCTTTGATTTGTCCATCAGTCCCTTTCTTGGAAACCATTACCAGACTTCTCTGGAGTAAATCCATCAAGTAACCCTCTGCCATGTCCTCCAAAGTTCTACTCCCAATTTGATCTATGAATCCCTCAGCAACCCATAACCAAATCAGTTTATTCACTGGGATATCACAATCTCCAGGAAATTTTCCTAGATAGAGAAAGCATGGTCTTAAATGTGGAGGTAAATGGTTGTAACTTAAAGCTAGAGTATCCATGTACTGGTGTGGGTCACTGACAATGTAATTACTTAGACTTTCAGCAACATCCTTCCAAGAGGCTCTTGTCCACCTGCTTCTGAGAAGTCCTGCAGTTATAGAAACCGCAAGAGGCAAGCCCCAACATTTGCTAGATATCTGCTTCCCAACATCATATAATCTCCAAGGGCACATTCCATTTTTGAAAACCATCATTTGTAATATACGCCAACTTTCACGTGCTGTTCGAAGGCGCAACATATGAGGTGGAACAACAGTTGCTGCTTCCAAATTCAGATCTATGTTTCGGCTGGTCAACAGTATCCTACTTCCATTTCTGTCATCTGGAAAATATATTTTCAAATCCTTCCAGGCTCTATTATCCCAAATATCATCCAACACCACCAGATATTTTTGACCCTTCAATCCTCTGTAGATTTGCTCACCTAACTGCTCATCACTCATGCTATAGGTTCTGTTCCTAAGCTGAAGAGTAGAACTCAAATCGAGTAAAAGATCCCTCTTAACATATTCTTGAGAAACACAAGCCCAGGAACGAATATCAAAGAAATAGACTATATAAGGATCCCCATATATTCTTTGGGCCAAGGTAGTTTTACCCAGCCCTGCCATGCCTACAATTGGGACAACCTCAAGCTTCTTTGAAGATCCGGTAAGCCTCTCTAGTAGCTTTATTGTATCATCCTCAAACCCTACCACAGCTTCTTCTGCACCTATGTTCCGTTTCAATGGTAATCTGCCTGCCAATGAGAGTAATTCAAGTTGTCTCTGTGTAAATCCAGACTCAAGTATTCTTCTTGATATAACATCAAACACAACAAATTCCTCATCTGAGTCTATAAACTCACAACAAAGTATTAACATTACATCAATCACTGTTCCCAATTCCTCTATTGCACCACAGACTCTTGGAGCTTCATTAATGAGAACAGGAAAGTAATCAGCTAATGTACCTTTAATCTTTTCTAACATACCCTTCACTTCTTCATCTTTATTCACCTCATCCCACATATACCTATCCAAAATCCCCCATTTTCTGCTGTCTTCTAGACCAGTTACAACAGTCTGAAGCTCATGAAGGAGCTTAGGTAAAGACTTCAACCAATAAACATTTAAAGACGCATACCCTTTTTCTTCTAGAAGAAATGCGATCAATTCAGGAGCTGAAAGGTGCACAATTCTCCATAAGGGGTCAATTATACATACGGACATTGCTTTCTTGCAGAGACGTTTGAAGGATGAAGATGCAATTAGAGGAGCATACTCATAGCCTACTGAATCACCCATTACCATACGATCGGCTTTATTACGAAGCCGCTCAAGGCGCTTCAAGAGCCGATTTGTAGCAACAATCATTAGGCAATGATAAATGCACTTCCGATTAACCCTTGCAGTCCCAATTTCAGGTTCAAAACTGAAAAAATGAATCAAGTACCAGAGTGCAAAAAAATCACCTGCTTGCCCTAGGGCTAATGAGGTTCAACAAATAGCATATTTCTTACAACAGCGGCCATTGATTCTCTTTAGAACCAAATTATCAACAACAACATGGGGAGCTACATGAGTCATCCTGTAGCAACAACCATAGCATCTCAACCACAACTGCTGAATATATGAAGATCAAAACTGACTACGACACATGAAATTATCTTAGTTTATGGTTGCTCCAACTCGATTGTCGTCATGATTAATGGTGATTTCACCAAACTAATTGAATAACGGCTGTAATTGAATTGTAGTCAACGAAGAATAACAGTGAAAAGGGAATTCTGTACGAGTTTTTTTTTTTCATGATCGAGAGCGTAGTCGTATATGCACTTTTGGATACAGAGTAGTTGGTTCCTATGGAATAATTGGTTCTACCAACCAATAATCTAATACTAGTTGAGCACCCGTGTAATTTGATCGGAGCCTTCAATTTTAATGATTTTAAAGTTTTATTTGTTTTATTAGAGAAGATTTAATGATGATATAAGTTATACTTGGTTTTTATATATTAATACAATTTAAATAAATAAGATTAGGGTTTCAATTACAGTCTATCGATGAAAAAATTGTATGATAGTTTAAAATCTAATATATTTAAAATCCAACATATTTAAACGACTACACAAATGTGTTTGATTTACACCAAGAGCAAAAAATCAAGAGAACGAGACCGAAAGTTCTAGAGTAATTAAATGGGAGATGAATGAGAGGACTTTTAATAACTCATGGTAAATATCAATTTGAATCTCACATAAGGGGATGAGGAGAAGACATAGATGTATGAGAAGGTGAAGACATAAGTGAAATGTGTCAAAAGTATCTTACGAACATGAAAAAAAAAAGATAATAATGTGCATTGGTAACTTGTATTATATGTTATTTTAATGTAGATCATGAGATTTTAAGACTAAATGCATAAAATAGTAGTACTTAATGTATTATGAGTTGTTTTTAAGACTTTATGCATACATGTATAATACTTTGTATATTAAAAATTTGTTTTTAAAACTTTTGAAAAATCTGGTTTATAAGATAGTATAGATATAGATATAGATTTATGTAAGGAAAGCTTAAAAGTCAGGAAAAGCTTAAAAGTCATCTTGGGGAAAGTTTAAAAGTCATTTTGTGTTTTAGATTTCTTCAGGTAAAGCTTAAAAGACGAGTACTTTTGTGTTTTAAAAACAAGTACTTTGTGTTTTAGATTTTGTATTTTTTTAAGACTTTAAGACATTTATCAAATTTGATTAATAAGATAGTATAGATATATGATTCAGAGCGGTTGGTTCCTGTAGAATTAATTGGTTTTTTTTACCTACCCAATAATGATTGACCTTTTGACTCGAAATACTTTTTATTGCATTAATTTGGAACCACAGAAAATGCTATTTTGGAGTTTTATCAATAATTTACATGTGTAGAGAGAGATTCGGTATTTTATGAATCCTTATCTAAGGTAGTGTTTGGTTCGCAGAATGTTTTTGGATGAAATGAAATCTGTTAAATGAATTTGACTTCGAATGAATTGGAATGAAATGTTGTCAGGTTTGACCACCTGTTAGGTTGGCAGACATTAGAATGAAATCTGTTAAGAAATTGAAATTTGTCTGTTTGGTTCACAGAATGAAGCTTTAGAATTGGAATAAAATATTGGTAAATGATCAAAATGCCCTTTTTGAAAATTTTATTTTTTAAAACTAAAAATCCTTAAATAAAATAATTATTTAATATGTAAAACAATATAAAATACAAAACCCAAATATAATCATAAGCCAAACAACGTTACTAAGTCGGTGGTGGTTTAGATCAGTGGTGGTTTAGATCGGTGGTGGTTTGTGGTGATTCAGATGGCGATAGTCGACAGTTGTTCAGATCGGTGGTGGTCCATGGTGGTTCAGATGATGGTTATCGGCTGTGGTTAGATTGCCGGTGAATCAGATCAGTGATGGCTCGGATCGGCGATGTCCGATGGTGGTTTAGATTGGTAGTGGTCGGCGGTGGTTCAGATCAATAGTGGTAGGAGGTGGTCGACGATGGTCATATTGAGTTTTATGAGATTAGAGTATAAGGTTAAGGACATATTTGGTATAATGAAGATAGAGATTCCATTTCATCAAAATATCATGTAGTTGCTAAGGAATGCTAAATTTCTTTATTTGTGGAATTTGTAGGATTTTGAAGATTTTTTTCATGAAAAAGAATGAACCAAACGAGGGAATGGAATTTGGTCAATGAAATTCAACATTCCAATTCCATCAGATTCCTCCAAAATCTGCGAACCAAACGCCACATAAGTATTCAAAAAAAAATTCTTTCAACAAAGATGTGAATTGGTCGACGAAATATGAATCGGAGATTGAACCTTGATATACACCCCAGAACAATACACTTTCGTTACCAAGAGATATATTCACATCCGTTGATCGTTTGATTCGAATAAAATTTGTAATGGGTACACTTGACGATATCAATCATTTGAAAAATAAACGTATTCGTTCTGTAGCAAATCTTTTACAAGAGCAGTAAAGAATTCCGAAAATCTAAGCAAAAATAATATAAATATCACATTTACTTAAAACTATGGGTCAACTATACGGTAATTACCATGTGTCCCCAAAAAGGTGGATCTCATAAATTGAAGAGTAAACTACGATTTTCCTCCCTGATCTTTAATTTTTTTTTTTCTCTCTGTGGTTTTTAATTTGTTTTTATTTTTGTTTTTAAAACTAACTAGATTCGATCCTGTGTATTATACAGGGTAATTTAAAAAATTACATCATATTAGGAACTCCCTCTCCCTCCATACATATAAGGGGGTGTTTGGGATTGCTTATTTGAGGTGTTTTTGACTTATTTCAGTTTGACACTGGTGATAAGCTAAATGCTAGTGTTTGGATGAAGAAAAATAAAACTGCTCATACCGGTGCCAAACCGATAATAAGCAGTTTTTGATAAGTTAATCATTTCTGACTTATGAAAAACTGCTTATTACATTTTTACCATTTTAATCCTGTTTCATTAATGTTTGTTAATTATTAATCTTATTGATATAAATTATTAATCTTAGTGATATAAATTATTAATCTTACTGATATAAATTTTTGTCAAAAATATTATTATAAATGATGAAAATTAAATTTTTACATGTTAAAAAAATCAAATAAGTTTAATTATGGAAGACTGTCCTTTTTCGTTATTTTACATATATAAGCAAAATTTGTCAAACACTAAAAAACAACTTATCAGTTTATTGCTTTTTGGTACCGCTATAATCTAATCCAAACACTTTTTACAAACCTCCGGTTTGATATCACATAAGTTAATAAACACTTTTACAAAAAAATATAAGTTTTTTTAAATAAGCAAATCCCAAACACCCCCTAAGTATAGATGTATTGATTATTTAAATTACAAAAATGAAATCTTTTAACGATTTAATGCGGTTGAAAATATTTTAAAATAAATAGAATATGAAAAAAAAAGGTTTCAACAATTAAAATGTTGAAAACATTTTAACGTAAAATAAGAATGAGAAAATAAAAGATAAATTTGAAAGATGGTTTTCCATTAAACTTGGTTTCTCAAGATTCCATGAGGATTGGTTGTTGTCAACCAAATTCTAAAACAATTGCCAAAAACATACCGTTGGTTCTATTGGGACAAAAAACTTAAGAAAAATATATAAGACATTAGTTAAAAAAAAGCTCTAAAATCCAAACAAAATTAAAAAGAATTGCATACTCGGATTAATCGTCTCGAAATAAACCTGGAAAAAAAATATAACCATTAAAAAATGACATGTTGAAGTTTGGTGATGTTACATCAAAAATTGTAACAAAAAAAACTTTAAAATCTCAACAAAAGTCAAAAGGAATGCATACAAACATTAGTTTTCTCAAAGTATACTTGAAAAAAGATAATCATTACAAAAACATGTTAAGTTTGTTGAGACTACATCATGGTTTGTAATGGCTACATCATGATTTGTAGTACTTTCAAGATTTCATCATCGGATCATTAATCGAACCATTGTTGCCATGTAAACTCTAAAAGTGTTATCAAGAACAAACTCTTTGTTTCATTGAGAAAACTTAGGACACTTATAGAAGAAAAAAGTAAAAAACAAAATTCTAAAATCCGAACAAAAATAAAAAGAAACACGTACCTAAATTAGTCTTCTCGAAATAAACTTGAAAATAGATTTGTTAAAAACTAACAATTTATAAAATGAAAAACAAATCATGATGGAGATAGAGAAAAATAGATTGAATGATGAACAATTCATGAAGAAGAGTTAAAGAAAATGAAAGGATTATTTTAAATACAAACATAAATGAATAATCAATGTTTATAGAAATTAAAAAAAAATAGATTAGAATAGGATAGATGAAAAAAAAAAAAAGATAAATAAGTTTCTAATCTTCAAGAGAAACCAAGTCATCAATGTTGGTTTCTCCTTTAATATATATATATATATATATATATATATATAGGTTGGTTATTATACAACCCTTGACATTTGTGCAACCAATACAACTCAATCTCAACCGTCCATTTCATTTGATTAATATGTGATTTCATAGAAGTTTTGATTGTTTCATAATATAAAGTATTGATCATAATTAATGAACC